GGGATGGTGATGACGATGATGGTTATGATGATGGTGACGACGACGAAGGTGGTCATATGATGTTGAGGATGATTCTTATGGCCTGGTCGATCGTCTGCTATTTTTGTTTTAAGGTATTCAAGGTGAACATTGACAACTGTCCCGGAATCATCGGTGATTTGGTTGGTCATTTATCAATCAATCCATCAATCAATCATCATTCATTCATTCGTTCATTCATTCATTCATACTTTTCTTCGTTTATTCACTTTTTCATTTAACCCAGCAATTAGTGAATGAATGAATGAATGAATGAATGAATGAATGAATGAATGAATGAATGAATGAATGAATGAAAGAATGAAAGAATGAAAGAATGATCGAGTGAATGAAAAATCCATCCCAAGCAGGAAATGCAAAAAGTTTTTGAAATGTTAAACGACATCCACGAGCTAAGTTCCCTGCTGAAAGCCAACCTAGAGGATATTACGGAGGCCAGCGGGGACTGCCAGTCAGCTGGCGTCGGATGGTGCTTAGATGAGTTTATGGAGGTGGGTAGCTGTCGTGATGATTGGTTGGTTGGTTGGTTGGTTGGTTGGCTGACTGATTGGTTGGTTGGTTGACTGATTGAATGACTGATTAGTTGATTGCTTGGCTGTTAATGTCATCATTTTCACCATCATTATTACAATCGTCTTCAAAAATTAACATTTGTAATGTCATATTAATCATAATTATATCAATCATGATAATCATTATCATCATCACCGTAATCATCATCATCATCGTTATCATCAGCATCATCATTATCGTCATCATTACCATAACCAGGGTCAGGAGTTTGACATATATGAGAGGTACTATTACTGCATCTTTCAGGACAATATTCATCTTAAATGGGCGCATCAATGTATCAATAACAAAAAAATTAATGAGGTTTGTATGTTTGTTTGTTTGTATGTGTGTATGTTTGTTTGTATGTTTGTTTTTTTGTTGGTTTGTATGTTTGTTTGTTGGTTTGATTGTACGCTTGTACGTGCGTTGGTTGTTTTTTTTTGTCTGAATGTTTGTTTGTATGTTTACATGTGCGTTTGTTTGTATATTTGTTTGTATGTTTGTTTGTGTATTTGTTTGTATATTTGCACATACAAAGAAACACACACACACACACACACGCAAACACACATACAAACAAACACACAGCTCTGGAAACCAGGTCTTGGAGATTGTATAAAATACGTCTTTCCGTGTCTGCTGTTAGAACCGTTCTATCATTTCTTTTACCTCTGTGACATCTTGAAGGTATTTTGTATCGGGGAATAATAGCTAGCCTTTTTGTAATACAGTACCGTGAAATAATACCACATATGACATATAACCTACAACAACAACACTATGTTACCATGAAATAAACAACAACACAACAACATCATCATTGTAACAACTACTACACCATCACAGCAACTACTACTACATCATCACAATAACAACAACAACAATATCATCACAACAACAGCCACAACTACATCCTTACAACAACAACAACA